TTGGAACTTTTTTCTTTTCTTCAGTGTCTCAAGTTTTGTGGAAATTCCAGTTTTTAGCAATAGCAATTTATTTTCTTTGGCCCTTTTCTTCTAAGATCTTCTAAAAACTAGGTCATTTATGGTTTGAAATTGAATTTCTGGAAAGTGGCACAGTTACACAGAGTTGCACGCATGAAAACTGATACTATCTCAGTACCATCAGGGATCAATCAAGAATAACTTGGGAAACAGTTATTACTAAGACATATTTCAACCTTTTATTTCTTTTAATGAGTTTTCAAGTCAGAGTTTCTGTAAGATTGCCTCATCTGGCCTATTCTGCATTTTTTTTCTTCTTAAATGTGAAGCATTTGCCACCAGCCCACCCTTTTTATGCAGTAGAAAGCGTGCTTCAGAGCCAAGTACTTGTCAGGATTCATTTGTCCACCACTTACACATTTTCTCAATAGCCCAGATTTTCCCTCATTTACCACTTGTTACCACTCCTCTGGTTTGCTGGAAACATAGGAGATAAATAAGATAAAAAATATTCAATGATCCATGTGCTGAAGTTTCAGGCATGTCTCTTAACTTATGAATAGGCTACAAATAGGCTGTCAGATTTGGCATATTATGTCCATGTGGTGTTGACAATTATTAAATCAAGGTTGTGATTCAGGTGAGTTTTAAAGTCTCCCCAAAAGTAGCTATTCACATGTTCAAATGCAGTCTTCTGTGGTGATTATTTCTTTCGAAAGGTGTACTTGGCAAAATATAGAGGTGGTACTTCTTTTGGTACTTCTTTTGTTGATGTGAATTTTCAAAATTATAAATTTGGAGGTTTGATCAAATCAAATTTTTGGATTTGTGAAAATCCAAAATTGTTTATTAAAACCCAGAAATAATTGTTTTACCTGGGCATATCTCAAAATTGTGACAGAATGTTTGGATTTGTCCAAGCATTTCTCAAGTTGCTGACCTCCCAGTATGCACATATTGCACCTCTCCCAGTGGGATCTCAGTAGATAATTTGACTAGATTAGTGAGAAAGATAAGATAAAAAGTATAGAATATCTGAAGATGGTAAGTATGAAATGTCAAGGATTTGTAATAGATATTTTGACAAATTGTTTTCAGTCAGTCAAAATAATTTCTTTAGGTGAAGCTAGTATACTTCCTAATTTGCTACAGTATTATCCATTGAATAACTGAAAAATGTAATAATCTCTCTTGTACCTATATAATTGGAAAAGATGTTAAGCAGAGCTCTCTGAGGATAGTGGGGTTTTTAAGTACTTGTATTAGGGAGTACAGCTATTGAGAAATCAGAGTATAGATATTGAGATATCAGAGTATATTTTTTCAAGCAGTTCTAATAGAAAGGCAACTAGAGGTGAAAATTTGATCGCAGATAATTCACACACAGAACTTGCACTTCTAATGAAAAAAAAAATCAATGACTAATTCAAAACAGCTTCAACCAAGTTTCAGTTACCTTTTTGGTAATAGAATGTATTGTCCTGTCTTGAGCTGTAGCCTCATGAACATCCTTTTAGCAACTGAAATGCCCCAAGCCTTGTTTTTTCTGTCTCAGCAAAAATGATGTGTTTCAGTAGTGAAAGCAAAGCCTCTGCTGAATAGATTTCTTTTCTCAGTATCAATTGAGCTTGTGAGAAGAAACAATTTGAGTAAACCTTTCACAAAACTATTGCACAGTCTCTACTCTCTGTACTCCTTCAAAGTTAATTTGAAAGCATGATGAGGATAATTGTGAGTATGCAGGGCAGACATTTCTGCCCATTGCTCTGTTGCTTTCTTCTATATATAAATTTACTTTTTTTTTTTTTTTTACAGTTTACATAAAATTCTAATGGATCTTCAAAATCAACAGCTAGCCCAGTTAGGTGACTGGCTAACAAAAACAGAGAAAAGGACAAAGACAGTTGATTCAGAGCCCTTAGGTCCCGATCTAGAGGACCTGAAGCGTCAAGTAGAAGAACATAAGGTATGTTACAGAATTTAGTTACTCTAAATTCATATTTAGGTACTGTATTACTGAATTCATGTGCAGTTTCTGGAAACAAAACAAAAACAGTGAAATTCTGACATTTTAAAAGGTCTACCCTTGACATTAGAACACAGCACAGTAATGTGAAAATTTGTTTTACCATTGATTGCTTTGTACAATTAAAAAGGTTTTGTGCAGCGATTGTGTCACAACTCTGGCTTTTCTTCCTGATATAAAAAATTAATATTATTGAGCTGCCTAATCTTGTTTGGACTCTTAGGACTCTGAAGATGTAATCCTATTGTGCTGTCACATAGTCGGAGTGAAGTTGTTAACTTTAGAATATATGTTTTAGTACTCTATTTAGTTAATGAAAAATAACAAACCAAAGAGTAGTGTGAAAGACATTTTGAGCAAATTTTCCTCATTCCAGGATGGAAAAACTTGTTTTGTTTACTGGATTAAATTGTCTGTTTTCATGTTAATTCATTTTTGAAAATAAACCTCGTTTCCTATTTGCATCTACATATACATGTTTATTTGTCTTTGTACAGCATTTGATCTATGTAATATGTAAACTTGTTTATTCATCCATGACAAACATGATTATGATAGGAACACATAGGCAAATATAGAAAGCCCAGAAAAATTGTGAGGTTGTGGAGATCCGCAGACATAATCTATTGATGTTTCTACCTCAGTAATTCTCTACTCTCTGACAGATTTTTGCCATTTGATGCTTCATGGCCTGTGTTAGATCTGCCCTCTAGTACCTTGGCTAACACTGCCCTGAAAATCATTTAAAATTGAAACAAGTTTTTACAGTCCTGTCAAAAGAGAGGTCACAAACCGCAAGAGACTGCATGATCCACTTCTAACTTAAAGGTGATTTTTCTGTTTTCCCAGTAAGGCTGCTGAAGAAAAACAGAAATTCTAGGCCTGATGCTATATCTGTTCTGTGATGCAAACTTACATGTTTGCAAGTTTTTCAAATATAGCATTTTACGCAGCAAAGCTGCTTATCATAAAGACAAAATTTCAGGAATGTTAATAACACTGTTCTGTTATTAAATGTTTCAATAACAGAAATGTTTCATATCAGTATGAAGTAAAAAAGTGACAAAAAAAATCACCCCAAACCTTTCTTAAAGTCTCACTCACATGACTGAACAACTCAGTCTTAATGATGTAAAAATTATTGGGAGAAACCATGAGTTAAAAGATAGGATGATAGGCATTATTTCAAATGAAATAGATTTCAGCAAAGACAGAAATTTTGTGTTTAACCAAAAATGTACTTTTAATGCAACTGATAGTTTACTGGTTTGTTATTCTACATTTTATTGTTACAAAAAAAGTTGATTTTGAATATTTGGGATGTTGATCAGAATGATCAAAGCAGTGACGAAAGATATTAGCAGCAATGACTATCTGAAAAAATGGAATAGTCCTTCTTGAGAAAGATCATACACTAGTAGAACTCCAGGACTTTTTTATTATAAATGTTGCTCCTTGTTTCCTTTGAAGCTTAGCTACTAGTTGTATTTTGTCTACTAGATATTATTGCATTTTCTTTTGGTGCTTCTCATATGGCTTTAAAATGAAAATACTGTCTCTTAATCCACAGAGACCCTAAAAATGGAAAAATTAGGAATTTGTATTTCAGAGTGTTTGGCTGATTTGTTCCTAAATGAAGGAAACTCCCAATCTATTTTAGCTGTGTAATTAACAGTATCTTAAAGCTCTTCTAATTAACTACCTCAAAGGCAGACATTTGTTAATTTTGTTGCCAGTAGCATATTTTGAGCTTCTGGGCCCCATACAGATTTTCATATGTTTGAACATTAGTTGCATGTGGCAGCGCATTCACAAAAGAGATCATTAATGGTCTGGGTTTTTTTTTTTGTTTTGTTTTTTCTTGCCTCTCCTTCTCTAGTCTTTGACATTAAATTCCAGTATTTTCTAAAAGTCTGTAGTAAGCTGCTGCAGAAAAGGGCACTCTGTCTTTCTTGCAGAGCATATACCCAGACAGCTACACGTAGGTGTTTATAAGCATTGTGTGTGTTTCTCTTAAGTTTCTTCCTTTGAGTCCTTTATGTCACATCAAGGAATGGATAGGTTCTTAGGAAAATAAAGGCTTGTCAAGAAAGGTGCTGCTAGATAACTAACTTTGTGTGAACATTCTCTTTCTAATGAATGTTCTGGTTGTTAACAAGCACTTTGGGCACTTTCTGGGTGCAATTAGAGGACCTGTAGGGTTTGCTGCTGCTGTTTTTGCTGTTCCCATCCCTCAACATCTACCCACATTTTAAGTCCCTGAAAAAATGCACTCTCTACAGGCTGACAAAAGCTTGTTAGAAACTTGAATTTAAATGATTTGATCTGAGCATGCTCCAGTCTTAAGACTGTCCTTAGTAAATTTCTGTTTCAGCAAGCTCTTGTCCACAAGTGATTCTCTCCAGTGAGTTTCATGGTAGAATTAGACTCTCAGCACTGAGTTTAAAGAACAGCCATGTTAGCTCAGGGGGAATTGTATCCATCCGGGGATCAGAAAATGGCTAAATTTTCAGGTTTTGTGAGCTTCTTGGCTCTTCAAATCTTTTATACTCTGTGCAAGACTCACACATCCAAAGCACCCTCTATTCCTTCACTTGTACAGCATCACTCATCCCTTGGTTTTGCTTCAGGTTTGGTTTTGCCCGTGGATGGATGCACACTGATCAGGGAAACAGGTCACCTTCTCTTTTAGCTGTAGATTTATGAAGCAATCCACTTATTGTCATACGGCTGAAATAAGATATTTGACCTCGAGACTAGCAAACTGTGGTATGCCATCTGGTTTAGGAGCTCTCTGCACTCTCTTGTTGGGTCATAAAAAGCTGCGAAATCTGAGTTCTGGGGACTGTTCTCCTGGCCTGGCATATGTCCCGGCCCTTCAGAACCACCTTGCAGTCATAACCCTCTGCAGCAAGCAGCAATCCCAGGTGTGAACGTCTGCAAAAGGAGGACTTTTGCGAACACATTGGCACAAAGGCTATGCCCACAACAGAACTGAAATGTGTTAAGAGTAAGGAATTTAGAACGAAGAAATACACTAGAGTCAGCAAGACTGAGGCCCGTAGTCCACAGCCCATAGTTGTGTGTGTGACTTTAGAGCAGGCAACAAGTCCATTTCAAGGGGATTTTTTAAGAAACAAAACAACACAGTAAATTTTCACAGAGAGGCAGATAAATATTAGGAGTTTAAAAAGGGGGGAAAATGCTGTTGGGTATAACCTGAAGAGACACAACCTGTGTGTGTGCTGTGAAAAAAGAGGACAGCGAAAGGTGCGATCCAGTCTGGACAGATGCGGGAGGGTCAGAGACACTCGCTTGACCTTTCTGTGGAGTGTCGCAGGAATTCGAGAGTTAGGAGCTGTTTAAGTATCACTTTGGGCAGGTTTGAGGTAAGTGGTTTCACTTCCTGGAGGTTGTTGTTTCTCAACCAAAGTTTCTCCTCAGACTCGTTGCATCTGGCCCTGGCTTAAAGAGGAAAAAGGGGATTCTTCCTTAGGCATGCAAAAATCATAAAATGTCTCTCAGTTTGTCTCATTTCTGCAATAAATGTTGCATGTTTTTTCCATCCTTGAGTCAGGCCTCCTCATCAGATTTATCCGGTGTTATTAATGTGGAAGGCGTGCCAGCCAGAAGAGAAGATGTGGCTGTTTAATGAAAGTGTGTGTCATTTTTCACATATTTTTTTAATCTTTGTGATATTCAGGTATTTTATTATGGTAATATGAAGAATAAAATCTAAACCGGTTCTGTTTAAAATGTGCAGTATATAGTAAGCATGCTACAGTGATATCTATAAGCCATCACCTTCATCAACTTCACAAATGTTTTCTCAACCCAAATTTTCAGTTTGATATTTTGTATGAAGAATTAGGACTTGTGAGTGAGTACTGGTAAGTAATTTTCTTGAAAGTAATGCCAGTCTCTGAAATATACTTATGTTACCATATATATGTAAATGCAACAAAATATAATTATATCAATTATTATTCACAGAATTCAACAGAATTTATAACATTCTTACAGGGGTTTGTTTTTTCCTACTGACCAACCAGGGAGGCTTCAAATGCATGGCGTTTTTTGTGATTTGCAATACATTTTCTAATACATGTCTTTTCTAATACACATCTGTTTAAATTGCAGGCATTTCAAGAAGATTTGGAACAGGAGCAAATCAAGGTGAATTCCCTTACCCACATGGTAGTGGTGGTGGATGAGAACAGTGGAGACAAAGCTACCGCTGTGCTGGAAGAACAGCTTCAGGTAACGATTGAACTTTACTCTCAGTGAATAAACAATCCTTGGTAGGAAGTGTAGGTGTGTTCCTGAGCAAAGGAGATACTTCACAGTGCTTTTCTTTGACAAATCAATGGCTGGTCCAGACTGATCCAGTATTACATTGCCTTTGTTTCTATCACTAAAAATTCTCAAAAGGAGATTGGGAATAAATTGAATAAATCACATTTGAAAAGCTTGGCCCTTTCACTCCTCAGTCAATTTTGTTTATAGTTATTTTGAAGCAGGTCTGTCTGTCTATCTATCTGTCTATCTATCTTTTCTTCCTCGGGGCCACAACTCTCATTTGTACAATAGGATTTTGGGAAATAAATTGTACCTACTATATATTCAATAAAGTTCATCATAGGTTGGAGAATATCAGCCATCCAGTTAGGAGCCATGTATGACTGATGGCCTGAAATTGCTATTTTGCAAGAATGGCAAAACGGTCCCTACCTTTTATTCCAAACTGTTGCTGATGGCTGAATTCTTATCAGTTTCATAGACCTGTAGTTTCAAGAAAATAATATCAGTAACAGTCCTCCGTATTTGGCCAGTCTTGATCAAACTGATCTGTCAAGGAAAATTCTATCATGCTTTCTGCTAATATTGGCCAATATATAAAATAGTGTTTCTAAACAAATGTCTCTTTCACGAAACTCATTCTGCTTGCTCTACTTGAAAGGGTGTTACTACTTTTAGACAGGAGCAGTTCCAAGCCAATGCTAAGGCTGTATTACACATCCTGATGATTTTCAAGTAGTGCATTCAGCTTTCTTTATGCATAGCTAAGATCTTAAGAATGCATCTCTGGTTTGATGAACCCAGCAGTCTTAGGCGTACAGTTATCCAGATCAAGGATCTGATCACATCATGGTAGGAGTGGAAAAGGGGAAATCCACTACTGACTTTCCTTTCAGAATGTAGTGAGGAGACTGATTCAAAAAACACATAAATCATGGAGCTGGAAAGTTGGTCCTAGTGTTCTAACTGTATTTGAATGCCTAATATTTCTTATTTAGAGACATAAGCCAATAGAAAAGCTAAGCATGGTAATTTTGGCAGAGGGTAAACCTTTTGCATCTGGACTAAGCTGAGCAACTTGTAAACTTATGTTGTTGTGCAAAATATTCATAATTTTGATTTAAAAAATGACCAACCTTTTTGATTAAGAGGTAATGAAAAATCTGTTTATTTTTATTAAATTGTTGAATATAAGAGAAATAGTTATATCTTTTCTTATTGCTGCAAGAAGACATGAGACAGTTTAAGGCACAGTGAACAACCTTTATATTGGTAGGAAACAATTTTTATAGCAATATATAAAGGAAATACATTTTCCTAATTGAAAATTAAAAGCTATAATATGGTCAATTTGAGCTGTATAATTTGTAACGTCTTCCCTGAAGCAAATACAAGGATACTGTTTATTGCAGCCAAAGCAGTTTAAAGAGAAAGATAGTTTATTCTGACATTGTGAATAAAAATTAGTGATTGTTTCCCATTTTCCTGTTGTTACTTTCCTTCTTTAAAATTAAATATTGTGTAAGATTTCACTTTCCAATCTTTGGTCTACATCTGTAGTCTTTCATAGGTGCTTTGTTGTTTTGTTTTCTGGAGGAGAATCTGAATTTATATTGTGCTAAATATAACTAGCATGAAATTTATGATCGTACAATTGATATTATCATTGCCTAATTTGTGAATCCTGGCCTTTAAAAAAGACTTCTTAAAGAATATTTTAGTTCTTACTAAAGCTGTACTTACCTGCCGCCCCTTTCTGATGACGGAAGGAAGTATATAACAAGCGTAAAGAAGTATGGTCACATATAGTTTCAAGGATACATAGAAGTAGTTATCATATAGTTTTGTGTAATGTATACTGAAGAGAGGCAAACTGTAAAAACTTTAAGAGGGAAATTAAAAATAAACAAGTAGGAAATAATTTTGAAGTATCTGAGAGCCGCTTCCTTCTTTGGTATGACTCCTTTAACGTTAACCTGCTTTATCTGTATTCAAGACCGACAAAAAGATTTTGTGTCTTATGGCACCCCCGTTCAGACTGCCTTTAGAGTAGGATTTACAACAAACTTCCAAAATTTCTCTCTTTGAACTACTACTTCTAAGAAGTTACCAGTTCTGGCTCCTGTCACAACAGTGCCAGATGCAGAAAAGAGTGTCTTCTAGTGCATTATTAAATGCACAAGTAAACTAATCACTTTTTTTTTTTTTAAATGATCTTTCTCTATAATTTACTGCAAGCACTCTACAATCTACTATTAGCACTCTTATCCAAATCACAAGATCATACCTTGCAGTCTCATGTATAATTACATGGATTACTTTATTATTATTATTCTTTTATTATTTTTTTTTTTTAAATGATCTTTCTCTATAATTTACTGCAAGCACTCTACAATCTACTATTAGCACTCTTATCCAAATCACAAGATCATACCTTGCAGTCTCATGTATAATTACATGGATTACTTTATTATTATTATTCCTTTATTATTATTATTATTATTCCTATACCTCCCGCAGAGTTCCAGATTCTTGCAACCCAAAAATGTCCTAAATTGCCTTTTGACCCAAAGTGTAAATAACTAACCAGACAATACCATCCCATTTTTTAAAAGCAATTATTTGAAAGTCCTAACTGAATGACATTTTAGAGGTACATTGGTGATAAAGCTAGTAGTCTGTATGTTCTAAAAAAATGTTATATTTTAGTTTTTGTTTTAAGAGAGTTTAGTACTTCACTGTCTCTCATACTTAAAAAAAATGTAATGCCTTTTTCTGTGACTTCATAATGAATTTAAATCAACTATTAGTAGTTTGACATACTAGCTGGTCCTACGCTGGCAGTCAGTTTTCCAGGTTCACAGTTCAAATAGGACATTAGTACTAGAACCATGAATGCTTCAACTCTTTTAGAAAGAAGGAAGTAGTTTTCTTCATTTTGCCTTTACTATGCATGAAAGTGGTAATATTTCTTTTTTTTTTTTAATCATTAAAGCACAAAATTGATGTAGAGAAACCGACATTACAGCTAGCACTGAGGTATAATTGTACCACAGACAAACTGTCTTTAATCTGACTAATTTGGGTACCAATAGCAGCAAATTAGTCTGAGATTGAGAATAGGTAGTGCATGTTTGTCTAAGATGCTGCGAACTGACACTTCAAAAATACAGAATGCATTACTGAAAATATTTAGTCACTTCAAGGAACACAGACCGGGCAAGGAAACAAAGCAGCATCCTCTGATCCGTCAATTATTACTTTCTATTTAAATTCATTTTCAGTATCTAGTTATGTAAACCTTGGTATCCCAAGTCAAAATTATCTTAATCTCGCAAACTTTTTTACCAACTGCTTTTATTGTGTTCAGCAGTATAAAGCAAATCCCTTGCAAACGGATGGTTCCTGAAAATAAAGTCACTGAGGAAAAATGCCTTGAGTGGAAGACAGGAAAATTGAAAAGAAATATGAAAATGAGTTTCACACACACACACAAAAACAAAACAACAACAAAAAAAGCCACACTAAACTATTTAATGTTTTCTGCAATGCATAAGTCAGAATATCTACAAAAGAGTTTTTTTAACAGTGTGGAGGAAAAAAAAGTTGAAAGGACTGTGAATTATTGGACAGGCTTAATCTAATTTCACAGTATGGCAGAATCACATGTTCTCCTGTAAGCTATTAGATCATGACTAAGATCTAAAGCAAACAGCAGACATCCCAGCATAAGAGGCAGAATCAATTATTTTTAAATTAGCTATGTGAAGAAAGCCAGGCAATCCAAATGGATAGAAAGTGGAAAACATTGTAGTATTACAGTTGTAACATAGAGTTTGTGGTCCTATGAAAAAGGTACCTGAAGCAAAACTAAGAATTGATATTCAGAAAAAAACAAACATGGAAGGCAAAATAGAGTTGTCAATTTAGGCATCAGCAATAATGAATGAATCATAAAGCAAATAGGGATTTTAATACTTCTAATTTGGACATTTGTATCTTAGTCAGCATTTCATGAGAAGGCCTTTACAGAAGGCAAGTAAATGCAAAGCTATTACAGAAATATATGCAAAGCTATTGAAGAAATATATAGAAATAGGTGTCTGTAAATGGAATACAAAGGAATTGTTTCATTTGTGACTGCAAGAGTGGAGAAGTGCCTGTTCCTGGGATCAAACATGCCAAATGGTTGGTGCTAATAAAACCAAGTACATAGGTAAAGCCATTGGGCTTAAGCTGTTATGAGGAAGTGTTCAGAATTTCATGCCTTTCTGCACAGGAGGGCCGTTACCACAGTCCATTTGCTGCCCTCACAAAATATTCTCGCTCTGTTCTTGAGTGTACGAGAAGGTTGTTTGGATTTGAGCAGGGAGAGGAAAGGGAGTTTCATGTGGTCTTTGCAAATTGAATATAAGAACAAGAGAGGTGATATGTTGGCAGGCACACTTGTCAGAGCGTTTGACAAAAAAGCATAGAGGAGCAAAGTCTGAAGCATGTATCTGTCAGCATGATTTTTAGAGCAGAGAAAAACAAAAGTGTGCACTGTTATGCAAAGGCTTTTTAAAACCATCTAAGTGAGATATTGATCAGACTTTATAGAAAGTTAGCAGTTATTGCTATACAGTTGCCAAACTGCATTTTCCTGAACTGTCTTATAGACAGAGGCAAATAAATGAGTGTATACATAAATTATATAAGGGATATTTACGCATTTTAAAAGTCTTAAAAGATTGACAAGCAACAATTTACACTATCTTCAGACTAACATTGCAGAAGCTGTTAAGATTTATTCCATATGCCAGAAAAAAGAATGGTGTCTTATTATGGAGTCTTATTTAAGAAACAGTTTGTGGTACAGAAAGCAAGTTATCCATAGATATGTTAGCATTGCTTCGAAAAAATAAAGTAAACATAATTACAGTGCTTCTTAAGGACAGTAGGTAGTTTGATTACAGCTATCTTAGGTGAGTGTTAAATATTAAATCTACTTTAGCAGTACACACTTGGTATAATAGTATGTGACGTTTTGTGAGGAGCTATGCTTATGTTACTTCTGTGAAATGGCTATTTAATGAGCAACACCCAGACCCCAACAGACTCATTGTAAAGACTTATAAAAAATGGCAGTTGTGGAAGAAGACTTGTATCTGTATTTAATGCCGTTATACCAGAGAACTGATCCAGCAAACAGCTACTGTAGAAGACTTTTTTTTTTTTTTTTCCTCCAGGAAAGTATGGGGAATTATATTAGCCCAGAGAAATCCCTGAATACCACCTAGATGTCAGGAAAGGCAAGGCATTTTCACTCTATTTACACCCAGTAGAGAGAAGGTTCTTGTAGGACTCTCAGCGGCTCGTTCAAATGAGAGCCCTCCCAGGGTTCAGGCATCTGTCCTGGATGGAAAGATAAGAGATGCACCAAAGGCCCTTCCCCGTTCTGAGGGAAGGGACCAGACAGTGTACTCTTCGCTCTCCAGTATTCACTCATATTATTCACAATATTATTATCCTTTGATTGATTATGATATATGCGTAGTTTTTGTAAGAATATGTAAAAATAATTAAAGAAAGCTTTTTTTTTTTTTCTTTTTTTAACTGCACACTCTGCTTATTGCCGCGCAGGAGAAACTGTGTGAATATAGGGAATATTTCTCTCTGTTTTTTTAATCGATTTGGCTTATAGATAAAAACATATTTCCACCATTCCTTATTAGTGTAAGTGCTTAGCCTTGCTTTAATGAAGTTTTGATAAACTCTTCTATTAGAGCTTGTTATTTTGCTGCTTTTTATACATTCACTCCACTGTTCCCACTCCACTGTGTTGTTTTTATTCATTTTATCATATTCCCATGCTTTTTTTAATTTGACCTCTTTACAGGTCATTTTTTTGCCATGTTTTAGCTCTAGCTTTTTGCATTCAACAAAAAAGATTTCTTTTTTAAAGGCCGATTTCTCTGAAAGATATTTGAAAGAAGCAAGAAGCTGCTTTGATTTTTACTTGGAATTTAATTCATTTCTCAGGAGATTTGAATTCCCTGCTGTCAACAAAATTCTTGGTTAAGCCAGAGTTACTAGACACCACTCAGGCGTCTTTTAAGGTGAAATGTTGTTTGTTGTGAACAAACAGATAGGATGGATGATTTAGTATGATTTAGTAGCTATATATACTTATATAAAGGGTCATTTTCATGCCTCTTTGGAAAAAATATTATGAAAATAGAGGTTTGCTTTGGCTTAGCAAAACTTTTTAAGGATACAAATCAATGGGTTTCTTGGAGTAAAAGAAAAGGCTGGTATTTGATCTTGTACTCTTGAGCTTTTAGCATTTTCTAGATGAGAAAGAAGTGCTTGTTGAGGTAGGTCATAGAGTCACTAAAAAGTGATACTGTAGATTCCAAGAGCAAACTTTTTCTTATTCTTTGCCATACTGGTTAAAATGTGCTGCTCATATATGTGCTACTTAAAAATTATTCAGGTGATATTTTAGAAAAGGTCCTTTTTGTAAATAAAGAATTTCCTGCTTTAAAAAACATGAAAAAAAATGTAACAGAGCAAAAGTCTGCAATATGAAAAGTAGCACAGAAATAACTAAATTTGGGTGTTGACTTGGAAGATATTGCTGTAGCATGGTGTATAACTTCTATTTAAGCAAACACAATATGGTGATATATATATATAAAGGGCTAAAATAATTGAAAACAAACATACTTGTCAGAACACCTACTTGAATGGCTGGTGCTGTTGCTGTCACAGCTATCATGGAAAATGATGGTTGTATACTAGTGACCAGGGCATTCACTAAATGTGATTCCTTGATCTGTGAGTGGTTACAGCTTACCTACACATCCCTGTGGGAAGCATGCATTAACATGGGACTGTGCTCAATCACGCAGTTACTGGTAAAACAGGAGCAATTTAAGTGTAGCTTTACTCTTCCTAGGTGGGAGTAAATGCCTCCGCATGGTGCTGTGAACTGTGTGGATATTCTAACATCAAAGTGTCAATAATGCTGTATTGAGGAGGTGGGGCTTAAATATAGTTCATTTATTCCGTGTTCCAGCAGAGGATGTTTATGATGCTGTCCTTAAAAAGAGTTTGGAAAAATACTTATACTCTCTAGTCAGTATTTGGAAAGTGAATTAAAAAGTTAAAATCTAATTCCATTTACATAAGGTTTTTTTTTTTTTTCTAAAGCAATGAATTTTATAGAGAAAAGGTCTTAGGGAGTGTGCATTATAATAAACATACTATTTAGGCTTCAGACTTATGGGGTCATAAATTTTCAGTAAAGGGAGAAATTAGTTTTTTTTGCATTATAAATTTTCAGTAAAGGGAGAAATTAGGTTTTTTGCATTTTTTTTCTTTTTTTCTTTCAGCACATATTGCCAAAGACAGTAGAACAATAGAATAATATGTGATGAGATCAATATTAAAATTTTCTCTTTTTTGGTTTTATTGTTTTTCCTCTTTTCTCCATTTCAGTCTCATCTCAAACAGTGGTAATGTCCACTTCACTTTGACACAGTACATATTTTTAAGACTTCAAATTGTAAAAAATGAGTTATCAAGATGTTTTCACAAAAGAAAATCAGTAAGAAGATGCGATGACCTTGTTCAAAAAAAAAAAAGGTACACAAATGCAGATACTTATTGTAGATTTCTTTCTTTCTAGCACTTCGGAGAGCGGTGGGCTGCCATCTGCAGATGGACAGAAGATCGATGGGTCCTTCTGCAAGATATTCTTCGTAAGTGGCAGCATTTTGCAGAAGAGCAGGTGAGTGGTACTAGCAGTTATGAATTAGAATGTTCTTCAGAAAATTGCACTAGGAACGGCCTGACTGGAGCCTTTTCATTCTCTACAATTTTCTTTCAGTGCCTTTTTGATGCCTGGCTTGCTGAGAAAGAGGATGCTGTGAGCAAAATTCATACAACTGGCTTTAAAGATCAAAATGAAATGCTGACCAGTCTACGCAAATTAACTGTATGTATTTTTTGTTATGCTTAACTTTCCTATTCATGAGTCCGAATGCTCCTGGTTTTATGCCACTCTCAAGCAGTATTGTTTAACTCAACAGCTTTTCCAGCTGCTGGGAATGGATGTTATCTCATCTCAAGGGCATGAAATTGTTTTGTTAGTGATCTTGCTGATCATGAAACAAGCAAGCATTTTTTTTTCTTTGCCTGTCTTTCAGTCACAAGTTTATGAACTGAAGCAGCATGCATGTCTTAGTAAGACTTCTTTTATTTTGGAAGTTTCTTTGATGATGTTACTGAGATACATGTGTGTATTGCTGAGTTATATGTATATGTGCAAGGACATAGACACATATAAATACACATATATGAATAACTACTGATCATGCATCAAAACTGGATAAATTTTCCTTAAACTTGAAAACGCACTTCCCACATTGAATTTTTGCCGTTCTTCCACTGCTGAACTGTTTGGCTTTTTTTTTTTAGAAAAATAGATGGTGATATCCTGGTACTGAGCATCTATCCTGACACTGAAATTCAAAGCATGCATATGCTTTTGGCATATGACATTCTAGACATAGAGGTGTGTTTGGATATAGGGAAGGAGAAGCTGTCATGAAAAGTCTCCTTTATAACTACACCAGCTTATTCCACAGTTGTGATGATAGTTTTGTAAGGCAGTGAGCAGAATTTGTGTACAGTCTCTTACTAATACTAAGAAAAGATTTGTATTGATAACAGTATGGTAGCTCAGGCCCTCTGCTCTAATCATTTCCAGCAGCAAATTACAGTATCAATGTCTCCTTTCAAAAAGAAGCTCAGTTAGATCCAACCTCATATTTTAAATCTTGATAATTACAGTTTTGGTATCACAATATGGTATGAGACCTTCCAACCCATTTTTCCGACCTTATATCCACAACCTGGCACAAATAAGGTCGTGTTCTTTGCAGCTAGAGTTCAATCTCTTAAGCCTGAAGGCAATTTCTGATGATACTTTGTTAAACCATTTAGTACTATGACCGTTCATTTGAACTTCAACAACCCTCTGAAGTATCTTAAATTATTTTTATTTGTTTGGGAGTGGCAGGTGGTTATTTTGAGTCTGTTGAGATGCTTTTGAGATGTGTGGGAAAAAATATTCTTATGTCACATTAATAAATATATACTATTTGCATAGTTACGTAGTAATAAATACAAAGTAAAATACTTTGTAGGTGGTAGTTTTCAGCATATTTGCAGTTCAAGATATTTGTGAAGAAATCTGGGTTTACTTATTATTTGCTAACACAGAAATAGTGTTTTCTTCTTCACAGTAATTTTATCTCACATTTCTCAAGTGAGAGAAAATATACTTCTAGTTAAGAAGGCCTTTGAAAGTAAGGACTATTATTCCTTGAAGTAGATTTTCGTTTTCCAACACTCCCTAAAGTGATATTCATTATTTATATATATTCAGACTTTAATAAAGATTTAGAGCAAGTGGAAGGAAAGGATTTGAGTCTAAATCAAAATCTCTACACGTGGATTCCTTTCTTATTGGTTTTGTGCTAGGAGATTTTTGCAGCCCAAATTGTGCTTGTTTATCTTATTTGGTATGAACAGGCATATGTTTCCTCCAAATTCGATTCATGCTAATGATTTGACTGCATGCTTTCCATTTCTAACAAATAATAGTTCTTTGTAGGTATATTCTGAGATATGTCTGTGAGAAGGAGGCGAGATAAAACTTACTTTTAATAAAACTGTATAAATTAAGTTTTATTATTTAGTTTGGCATACCCTAATGTATGGTGACTGAGATACACTGAGCAGTGGGAGACAGAGTTTCAAAATCTATTTAATAGAGGAGAGATTCTGACTGTCCTGAACATTATGGTGTTGTCCCTTCTCTTTCCTCACTTATATTGCTCAAGTTCTGTGGGGTTTTTTTGCAGCTGAAATGGATGAATGGAAATACTTTTTTAGTTACTGTAGTAATTCATTTGGTTCTAACAGTGCATTTAAACTAATACCAAGTTAGCTGATTTCTTCTTATGTACAGTACCCACAATGTCTACTTGTCAGGACTTTTGTTCAGATAAAACTCATTACTGCAAGAAATTCTGTGTGTTTCTAGATAATCACAAATGCCTCCTTTCACAGGATTTGTTCAGTATTTGTATGTAAAAGTTTATTTCCTTTGTCATTAACTCTCTTCTGGGACCTAATTAATCTAAAGGGCAGAAAAACAGTTCAGACATTGCTTCTTTGCATATGCATTACCACTGACTTCTCTTTGCCTGTTTGCGATGCTGAGGGCTACTTGCTCCTGTTGTAAAATACTTCCTTAAAATAACTACTTTTTATTCCCTCTCTCGCCCGCCACTAGCATTTGTTTACTGTCACTATCAATGTCTCTGACTTCTTACATGACACAAAGGATGACATAAAGCATGGACTGATCTAGAGGAGATGAGGTACTGAGTATACAGAACATAAATGGACAGGCCCAAATAAAATTTCGCTGCCATTTATGACATGAGCTAGATAGGTTATCTTGATACCCCACACCTAGATTTTCCAACATGTAAAATGTAGGTGAAGGTGTTTTTCTATTCCATAAAGCAGGCTGAGATATAACAGAAAAGGTAGATACTGATATTTAAAATTAATATTACATTAGTGCAAGGTTAAGTCTTCACTTGCTTCAGTTAATGCAAATTTCTTCGCTTATTAGAACAAATTAGATAGATAGATACTACATTAACAGAGTCTGGAAATAAATCTTAGTAGATGAACAATTACTTTTGCATCTTATAGGAGATGTTACTCAGAATATTACAATGAGCATAGAATGAGGTTGGTGATGTTTAAGGGAAAGAAAAACAGTAATAATTAAAGCAAAAGCTTGAAAACAAATAACAACAAAAACTTATGAAAGTGTATTACTAACAGAGAGAGGAAATCAATTTATAATGTTTGAATATCAGTATATTTGTGCCTTGCTGTATGTTTCCGTTAGAACATGGCATGTATATTTGGAATAAGCTTCTGAAAACGTGCTTTGCATCTTGCCTATAGATATCTTACTTGCCCATACTTTGAGGGTGATAGTAATATAGCACAATGGTAACCTTTCTTTATGAGATTTAATTAAAATATTTGAAGATGTTAAGCCAGGGAATATCTAGCACTATATTTTAATGAATATAGAATTTTAACAAATAGAAAAGAACCACTATAAAATAAATCTTATGTAACTGCTTTTGACAAAAGTTATGATTGAGTTACTTGATACTTATAATATTGTTGATTATAATGCCTTGCAGCCTAGTAAATTGCTTGTTTTGTTGTTGTTTCCTGAGTGTTTAGATCTGTTCCTGCACAAAAAAAATCAGAACTGGTGCACCTTATTGGCTGCTGTAACACATTGAGAGGTTTTCAGTAAAGAAATGTAAAACCAGAATTTCCCAGTATGTTTCTTTTTACAAGTTGCCATTCCTCCTAAAGCATACTGGGTAATACTGAGCAATTTTTTGATAGATACATGGTTTTGCTACTCTTCCCTATCTAGTGGTTCGTTTGCTGACTATGCTTTGTATGTCATGGCTAGATGCTTACCTGATGTGTACGTTGTGCAGCTGTTGAGAGCTATGAGAATGGGAAATAAAGTACCTCTGATCAAAATTCAGTGATCGTGTTTTGTAGAGGACCATTTTGTTCTCACTTTTTGATGGTTTTAGTTACTGGCTTTCAAGGCAGCTTTTTGTTTTTCCCACCCTAGGCCCCAGGGAGAAGTCAAATATAGTAATCCTTGAAAATTGAGGTGGCAAATTGCTTTCTGTCTAGTCTCTCCTGTTTGTTAGATCTGCTGCTATATGAAGTATGCAAGCTGCCCTTTGTTAGGGAGATATTAGTTTAGAGTTTGATATTCATTATATATCATCAGTACTTATGATGTTTTGAATCACAAACAGTTGAAATAGTGGAAACAATACTTTTTACAAAGGCACTATTTTTTTTTCCTGTTACTAAACTGTATTTTAGATCAGTTTGGATGTTAAGGTGAAAGGAAAATATATGTAGACTAAATTCTGTTGTCTGTAATTGTTGTGTAGTTATCCACCTTGAAATATATAAGCAGTGCTATGGGGATTAGATTACCATTCCACCTTGCATAAAGATCTCAAAATTTGGCCCTGGTTAGAACAGATAAGTGTGTGGAGAACAAATGCTTGAGGATCAAAAGCCAGAGAGATACAACAAGTAACTGTAGTAAGAAAACAAATTTCCAGGTGGTGACTGGAGCTATGGATAACTCTCGAATCCGCCAACCACCTGTTTGACAGGGAGATCTGTCGAGATTTCAGGTATTTCAAGATCTTTTGGCAATTTACCTGAGTAGAGTCATGAAGAGTGAAGATTTCTCATTTTCTGTGAGCACCTCTGCATTCTTGTGGCCTGATGACTCATAGCAGCTGGGAACAGGAATTTCCAAGTCCCCAGCTGCACAACAGTTTTCTTTGCACCCTCAGGAGAGCTCCAGAGACTCCTAAGGCTTCTCAAATTCTTGGCAAGCTACTGTTCAAGAGCTTTGTCATCTTCATCCTAGGTTTGGGGTGTAATACTATTTTTCTGGAAAACTTTTTTTTTCTTCCCCAAATAGATTTGAATATTCAATAAATGGGCACAGTACAACAAAACTTTAAAGAAACATTCTTTGAAATTTTGGTAGTTGTTAACATTGATGCAGTTTTAAGGTTCCTAAAGTCACACAGCCTTTAGTTTTTTGATTTATATTCCAACCTGAGGCATGCTGTGATGTCTGGAATTGCTCCACCTGTCATGTTTTATTGCTTTGGGAAGTATAATGTGTCCATTCTACTATGTCAGCTTCTCCAGCAGGTTTTCCAATAACAGCACTGTGGAAACATAGAAGTTTTTATAAAATATCTTCACTCATTTTTATTTCTTGATGGTGCTTTCTTTGGCTACTTTTTCTTCTGTTTTTTTTTTCTGTATGATTTACTCTTGCTGTTACTTTGTTTAACAGATCCTGAAAGGAGATCTAGAAATGAGAAGACAAACGCTGGGTAAGCTGAATGCGCTCAGCCAAGACCTCCTTGCAGCTGTGAAAAATAAAGCTGTGGCTCAAAAGCTGGAAAGTCGCCTGCAAAATTTTGCTCAGCGCTGGGATGGCCTTGTGCAGAAGTTAGAGAGCAATTCTAAGCAGGTTTGTTAAAAGCATCTTTTTGTCAGTTGCTGACAGTTAAATCCTTTGCCAGTCAAATGCCTGAAGTAGTTTTGGTGCTGTTTGTCATGTTGTTTTAAATCTTTTCCCTGCATGATTGCTTCAGACACATTTTATTTTTAGGACAGCAGAATGCAACTGTTATATAACTTCTGAGAACATTATTTATGTCTCTGTTTTTTGATTGTTCTCCTTTATGGTGTTGATAACTTTATAGGGTTTTAAACTGTGTTTATATAATCCATAATGAAAATATTTCCAGTTAGTTTATTTTAACCTATAATAGTTGATCACTTCATATATACTGTTTTTATGGCTTTCTCTGTGGAGTAGCACTTAATCTGAAATTACTATTAGAGCCATTTAGTAGTTAAACTAAAATTATTTTTATTTCTCTTCAATAGTGAAAGTTCATGTAATTACTGTTTCACTTCGACTTTTTATTATCCTGAGTTAGAGATTTAAAAAATGACCTATAAAAAGAAGTTTTGTGAAAAATAAAGGAACCAATAGGTATGGCCAAAATATCAGTGAAGAAAGAATATCATCTGCTGTTATCCTGTCTTGCTTCTTTCTCTTACCCATAATATAATGAAAAAGAAATTGAGCAGCTAATGTTTCACATTTGTCACACCAGATCAATGCTCTGGTGTAGTACTCCAAAATGTATCCACTTATTTTGTTCTATATCTGTCAACATCTTTCTTGATGGAATTAAACCAAAGGCAGTTTATTTTTTTCCTTCTCATTAATGTTCAATTAATTTCATAACAACATAATTTAACTATTGAAATGGAAGAGGGATTAAAAAAAATCAAAAACATCTTTATTTGACGTTGAAAGTCAAAAGAAATTTGTGCTTTACAGCAGTGGAAGTGATAACAGTTGAAGATTTGATTCAACTCTTCTGTATTTACACTAGGAGATTTGTTGCAGAGAAAAAATCCAGAGAGGCATTTTGAATCTAGGACAGCTAAAGTCTCCTGATTTTAGGAATTCAGTATGTCAGGTCATAGGTTTATGGATTTTGGGAACTTCTCCAAAGAGTGCATTCTTCCTTGTTTCTACGGGCAGCACTGCCCTCCAGCTTGGACTGCCTTACTAACCAGCGCAAAGAAGAGATAGAGCTGTGTGTTTTTCCTTGTTTGGTTGAAGATCCCAGCAGAGCCTGGTGCACAGCCTGTGCAGCCAGAGCATCTCAAAGCCTTTGGCTGCCCAGCTGTGCACAGGATTCAAGCCCATCAGCACCAGAGGAGACACTGTCTGTGTAAACTCCAGTGGCTGAGCATGGTCTCAAGCCTGTCTCTACAAATTTGTTTCTCGCAATAGCCGTGGAGCAGGGCTCTCCGTCAGTACCTTTTACAAAGATGGTATCTTGCAAGTTGCACAACTGTGGTGTCCTACAAGCAAAGCAAGTGTTGTGAACCAGTGTTCATTTATTTTGATCAGCTTATACAGTATGTGCACTATGTGAGAACATAAATTTAGTAGTTCAAGCAGCTCTGTTTTTTTAGAAAAATAAATCTATTAAAGATTTCTAATTTTCTTCCTCTTAGCATTCTCATTCTAAATACCAGTAATAATTGATACCTTAACGACTCTGATCTTAACATATGCACAGTTATAACTTTTTTCTTTTATTTTTTATTTCATAAAAACTCTATACATCTTACAAGGTGGAGGGAAGTTGGAAGAGGATGGCAATGTAATACTTTCATTAAAGCCTACCAGAAGATGCATGTGTTATTCTTCAAACCTAGATGCTGACTTGAAAATGAACTTTATTGCTTAATTAATAATGTATTATCATAGTACTTTCATAATAATGTTGTCATTAGCTCTTTCCCCTCCCTCACTTACTGTGATGTCATCAAGTGATTAAGTGAAAAATTATTTGGAACAGGCAATCTCAGCCTTAACTCAAAACTGATTTTCCACTTATCACATCGGACACAGTTACACAACCCAAAGGAAATGTGTTGGAATTAGAATGTGAGTCCTCCAAAGTTAGCTAAATTTAAGCGTCTAATCTCAATTCGTGGCTGAAACTTCTGCTATAGTGAATGGATGGCAAGGATGAGAGAAAGGCTCATCTAAAATGCTGTTTATCCTCACCCTAGTATAGTGCCTGCTTTTCTTCATTGACGACACAATGGAAACAAAGATGACTTGTTTCAACTAGGTGCATGACTTATAAACACCAAAGGCACCTACCTTTAGTAAGGGCATTGTGTTTCTCTAAGCTATACTGAAAACTAAAGAAAACACCATTCCTCATCAGAACTTCCCCACTCACGTGCACACATTTTATCAAAGAAGTGATGACAGCTCCAAAAGTGAGTGTTAAGGAAAATTATGAGTATATCAAGACTGAGGGCATTTCCAAAGGCGGCAGTAAATGATGACATTAAAGGTAGGCTGCAGTATAAAAGAGAAAAAAAATGGCGTAAAACTACTGAAGTCCTATACGTACATTGTACGTACCCTTATCTGTAGAGGATGAAAAGGAAGTTGAAATTTGTCTACTCCTTTTCTATCTTGAAAAGAAAGAGATGAGTTTCAACACATTTCTAAAACAAGCTTACTGATGTGAACCTGGATGCAACCACTGTATTTTGAAAGCCTTTTAATCTGCAGCCTCATGAGTCACCTTAGCACTTTCCACAGGATTTTCCAGTGAGTTAAAGATTGAATGTATAGCTCCCCTTCTCAGATTCACATCTGCTTGTCAGGAACTTAGAAGGTTAAAGGAGCTAAACTATCATTACTGGGCCCATCCTTGAATGAACAACCATGAAACAAACCACTTCCGTAGGAAGATTGAGAGTCTTTTTTTTTTTTTTTTCTTTGCCAGGGAAGCAGATGAATGTTACTTCCTCTTTTGCAAGTTCATATTTTTAAGGGTTTTCCTTTACCTGCTAAGGAGTAATACTCTAAACGTGTACCAAGTTTTCAAACTTAATTGCACACAATTACATGGCAGTGTGTAATCTTCAGCATCTTTTAGTCTTCCCTAAGCTCTGTGGTTACAATAATGATGGACTTCAAATGCACATCTCCATTTTCTCTTTGAACTATATGGTATTTCACCTCCACTGTTATTGATTAAGCATGTAAAATACCTTTTTTGCTTTTTTGACATGCAAATCATTACACCCCACAGCGTCGTGACTTGACTCCTCTGAGCACATGATAATGATGCTGCAGTTCCCCATCACCAGCTGGAGCTGTTACTGCTGCGTAATTGTTTGTAGGCTGCAGATGATGCCTACGACACTCTTAGCTGTGGTTTATCCTCTGTTTTCCACCTTCTTCACTCTAAGCTGTGCCCTCATATTGATCAGTGAATGGAAACGTGACAGGATATGGCCGCAGGTGTCAGGCACATATCCTGCCATTGATTTTTAGATAAAACTTTCCCTGAGTACCATCAGAATTTTGTGAGAAGGGCAAAGAGGGGCTGTCTCCGAGAAGCCACGAATGGATTAAGCAATGATGTGAAACTCTCTTTAGCTGCGGAACAACCCAGTGACAGGTGACCTCAGGTGTCTGTAGAGACCTAGACCTTAGAAATTTTAATTTACTCCTCTCTTTCTCCTCAGAAAAAAAAAGTTAATTAAAAACAAAATGGAAAAGAATACTGCGTAAAATGTCAGTAAATCTATATGGAAATGTTTCCTTATTTTCGTGATGTAGTTGAAGGAGCCAAAATAAAGGTGCTTATATGTATATAGAAGTGATGAAAAAGTAAACAGGGTGTTTTTCTCTGCTGAAGAATTGATTTAATTCATATGATTCCAAAGTCCCTACACTTCACGTGCAGCTTACTATAATTAACATTCTTAATGCAGAGATAAGGGTTTTCCTTTGAATCTTGACATGGTAGTCTTCTAAATAGTTCAGATTCTTCTCAAAAACATAAGCAGATAGTCCGTTCTACAAAGGGAAATCTAGCACTGAATTGACTCCTGTGAGTAAGATTGCCAAAATTACCATGGCAATTGGCTTTTCTCCTCATCATTTCCATTGACACACTGGACAAAAACCAGCAAGACTTTTTTATTTAGCAGACCATGTGAAACATTAGGCAACATTATCAGGGAGTCAGGATACTTCAGGTGTTCTTTGTTGTTGTTGTTGTTTACTTTTTTCATATTGCCTTCTGCCAAGAGGCTGGTTGCTAACAGTGTGCTCTTTCCGTGTTGTGTTGTTTTTCCACTGAAGGACATGCTGTGGAAAAGGAACTGTTGTTAAATACCTTGGTCTACCTCTTCTCCATTGTTCATATAAATGCTAGTACCTCAATAACTAAGATAAGTCTGTGCTCTCACTGAACTTCTGTGCAAGAACTAATATGTTATTTATGTACCTATATTTCACTAAATCTTACATGCTAGCATTGTTCTCTCTAAATTGGGAGAACATTCTCATTCTTGCACATGTGCAGAGAAGCAGAGCTCTTCTGGCACAGAGCTTTCCCTAGTCATCCTTCTATTTTCCATTTCACTACCCTAAACTATGAAATGGTCATTGGAGCTGTAACCAGAGCATTTTAACAAAAGAGCCGGCATCTGTTGGAACAAAAAGAATTATAAATGCATTAAGCCACTTAGAGAATAGATTCCCTTGTTTGCATGGGAACTTCATGATGTTGTACAAAAGCAAAGACATATATAGATGGTATGTGCTTGATTACAGTGTTTTGATGACACTGATGTATATTTTTACTTTATATTTCAAAATGCATGAGCAGAAAATATTTATGATCATACCATTTTTTTACTGCTAAACTATCTTAAAAGTTCATTTTCATATTACTGGGCAAAGTATTCACACTAGATTGGTAGTGCTTACAGGGTTACATATTTAAGTATTAGTATCTTTTATGAACCCCTTTAATTTATTTTACTATGAAATAATATTGACAGAAGTTTGCTAGTCTGCTAGTGCATGTATTCTTCTTTGAGATATCCTGACAGGAAACTAACTGCTCTTTTACAAATGAGTTGGCATGAATTATATCCTGGTTTGAAAATTAGTATAAGCAGTAAAAATAACGATTGGTAATTTAGTGCCACAGGTTTTCTTTATCTCTCCTTGGGAAATAAATATTTAGAACAGAGACAGAATAGCCTACAGAAATAGTAACATTTTATATATTTTCAATCATTTAATTCCCTCATGAAATTGACCTTTTCTTTGCCATTTATTTCTTTTCTTCAATCAGCATGATTTAAAGGGAGCCATAAATACATTCTACTTAGGATTCTTTCTGATTTTTATATTGAATTCTACAGATGTTTTATTCACATAGCATGACTCAGATAAAACAATTTGGTTTCAGTTCAATGTAGTGTTTTTTTTTTTTTTTCTGAAGGTCAGCCTATGATCAGACAGGAGCAGTTTCTCATTATTTTCTATTGCCACTCCAAACAGTCTTTACTAAAGTCTTTCAAGCAATGTGTGACCTCTGTTTTAATACCTCTCACAGATTTCACAGGCTGCCACTACCACTCAGACATCACTAACACAGACAACTGTGATGGAAACTGTAACTATGGTGACCACGAGAGAACAAATCCTGGTTAAACATGCGAAAGAGGAACTCCCACCACCTCCACCCCACAAAAAGAGGCAGCTCCTTGTGGATTCGGAAATTAGGAAGAGGTGAGAATCATGAAGAGATGGAGAAAGAGTGATGGTAGCGTTTGGACAAGAATGCAGAAACAGGCCTTTGGCTGCAAGAGTTTGCTGTGTGCATTTTTGAGATGAAAACTACATTTATGTACCCTGTTAAGACACTAAGTGGTTATTGCCTTTTTGGAGGTGGAGGGTGCGGGACGTGAATTAGGGAGTTTTTTTAATGCCTCTTTTTTTTGCTATAGAATGTCAAACTTTACATCAATAACATTGTGCTCCTATTTTATTCAGTCAAAGTCCTTAGTTATGACCATGTAGGGCCCCACTTGACACTATTCTTGAAGCTTGAAGGACAACAAGTATTCCATCAGTTCTCAGCTTGAAAATTATTTTTCTACTAGCGAGAATGCTAGTGATGTGGATATTCCCTGATTTCTAAAATTGAAGTTAAATTCTTTCTGGCTTGTGAGTCAGCAGGGAGAATAATGGTTCTGCAGAGGCAGAATTATTCTTTGGTCAAACATGTGGTAACATTATTTTCAGAGGTTTTCCATGTGTAACTCAAGTACAAGATAAAATGGATTATAAACCAAGGTAGAGCACTATGAGTCCAAAAAAATAAAAGATTTCTCATCATTTCAGGTAGAACTGGTTAAAAAGATGAAATAATTTATGAATGTGGTACTAAGAAATTAGATTTAAGACACTCATTTTAATGTTCATTTTAGAAATGGCTTTTGATACTCAAACCTATGAAATTCTGAGTTTGTTGCAAGGCAACTGATTCAAGAACTGAGAAGAATAAGAAATTGAATTCACTGTCTCATTTCTGCAGAAAATATCTTTGCTTAGTTCTGTGTGTTTTAAGTGATAACTATTAGCTATTTTATAGTAAAATAACCTTTTTTTAACCTTTAACTACATTACAATGTACAGCTAAGTATATTATTAAGGGAAATGAGATCTGTTAATAGTAGGAGAAATCTAGGGACTGTTTTAATTGAAGTAGGTATGTCATTTAAAAAAAAGCCACTTAGGGGCAGTTTTCTTTATACATATGCATCCAGTAGTGCAATTCACACTACCTATCTTTGACCTTTCTAAATGTTAGATTTCCAGTTTAGTCTCATTATTTGGAAATGTTTTATACATGGTGTAAAAAGAATGATGCATCCCCTTTCCTATCAGGTTGGATGCCGTTACAAGTGTTCACAGCTGTGCAGCAAGATGAATGATGGTTGTATTGTCAACAAGGCATTTCCATTCAGATATATATATATATATATATGGCATTTCTAGATGAACAGATAAAAAGAAACTATATCTCCTTCCTTTTTATAAAATCCCAGAGGATGTTCTGGAGTTGGGAAACCGGTGAATAAACAGCTTTAGATAAATAATGGACAAAGGAACTTCAGGGAATGAGTTTCAGCTTGCAGTGATAATAATTGTCATGACTAGTTTGAATAAAATATGCAGTCTTAACAGACAAACGTATTTGACATTATGCTGCTGTCTTCCTCCAACATAATGAATTTAACCTGAACATGAAGGAATGCAATGATGGGGGAAGAAAGCTAAAGTGTGAGAGCCTAGCTGAGATATCTGCATGTGTAGGTGTTTAGACATGTTCTTCATCAATGTTTTTTTCTGGGGAGGATGTCATGGCTGTATTCCCCTACAGCCAAGTCAAGTTATTTTTTGGGTCTGTTGCCAACTGCAAGATCTTTCATTTTTGTGTGTGTATAATTACTTGGTCCTAGGCTCAAGGGAGAAGCAAAACCACAGTATTGCATAGCTTTTAATTTTTGAACTGATCTGGAATATGGATGTTCCCGATCTACCTCCTCCTATATCGTTCCTTACTGTGTGTATTTAAAATACTGTTCAAAGTACTGTTTGTGTTCAAAATTGAACTCTTGTAGGCTAAGAATTGCTGATTCTACAACATTGAGTTTCTGTTTGATTCAAGGTAGCTCTGGGCATCGAATGCCTGCTGGGGGTTTCTGAATGTGCACAGCCACATGGTGCTGGTGCTGACCATCCTCTGGAGTTGCACTACGTGTGGGGAGGGTTGTTTATGTCTTGGGAAGGATGTGATGAGTTGGGGATTGACACTTTTCTTGTGAGTAGGAAGAATGATGCTTCAAAGTTTTCTCAGCTTTTTGCCTCTGTTCTTCTCACGTTTTAGTCAGCTTTGTTGCTGTAAAAGAGCCTGCCTAACCTAAATGCATCATCCTCAACTGCCACATGTTTTGGAAGTCTTATGATCAGATTTCCTTTCCTGTGTTCTGAGTGTTTCAGCAAGAGCAGAGCATGTGTTAAATATGGGCTGCACCTGCAGTGTGAATTGCTGGTTCCTCAGTCTCAAGGAGGGATAACGACTAGTTTGGTTCCACTGTGAATGCCACATTAGTGGACTGTGTAAACCTGTACTCTTCTGCTGCTTAGCTGAGGGGAGACGAAGAATGACTAGGATAGAAACATCAAGCTTTCCATGATGCTTTCTATTTCTACATTTTCAAGTGTTCTGGAAGGATTAGAACTGTATGAATCTCATTTGTATTGATGAAATTGAGGACAAGCAATTTGACCCAGTAGACAGTTGACCGAGGAATTGAATTCACTTTTTCATGGTTCCTATTCCCAACTCTCTCTGCTATGGCATAAGGACAACCTTTTTTTTCTCTCCTCCTAAAGCTGCTTGCTACCATAAATGGTAGATAGCAGATAAAAGAAGCAGATGACTTAACTCCTAAAAATCCACAGATTTAGTGCTTAAAAACATCAGAATGATTCAGATATGTGCTAAGTTCTGTTGCTGGTCAGAGGAAAGTTAGCACATTTTCCCAAAGAAACTCATTTCCAGCTGAGAAGGAAAAAAATGTTAGAGCTGTATAATAAAAGTCATAGGAATGTATATTAGACTTTAGGAGTTGATAAAAATGTAATGTAAGTAAGTGAAGTTTTAGAAGAAAACATAATGTAAATGGTGTCATTTTCTTTCCATGCTATTTACATATTCTAGAAGAAAACGTAGGTCAGGTGTATAGCATAGAAAAATCTGAAATTTATTCTATTCCCAGGAGGTTTTAAAATAGCAAACAAGCTGGAGCAGTTTAGCATTTAATGTATATGTATATTTATTGTGAATGTTCTTGATAATATAACGTGCAAGACACTTTTCTTTACCAATTAGTAAATAATCTTGTCCACAATTGCTAATGTTTCCAAGCAAAGATTATTTGTCATAACATTGTTATAGATAAACCATTAAACTTGAGATCTGAAATAGATTTTTACCCTTTGAAAAGAAAGGCATTTTAAAACAGGGTGGTTGCTCCATCTAGTGTTTTGTATTTAGTGTTAACATACCTGAATATTTTTTTAAAAATGAACTAGATTTCATTGTTTTGAAAGTTACTGTATTTGGAGTTTTAATGCATCATTACTTAGCAAAGTTTGGAATATTCTTGTTTAGATAAACATATTAAAGGAAAAATTATGTATTTTTTTTTTTTAGCTGTTGTTTCAGGTAGGTCCCTGCTGCACAGAGAATTATGTTAAGAATGAAATACTGTTAAGCACTTTAACAGCAGCTCAGTGGCTTGCTTGACCTTCATCCACTTTTTGAAATGTAGCTTTTGCACTTTTCTTGTTTTACATAATGGTACTTAGCAAAGCTAAAATGAAGAGGGTAACGTCTTCATAATTTTCCTGGTGGTCATTGCTTCCAGTGTTGTTTCTGTGTCTCTTGCACTAGAGAAAATGAAGGTGATTGAGCACATAATAAGATAATTTTCTGTTATTTACAGGAGGAATAATTTATAAATGTTTTTATCTACAGCACAGGAGTAGGTACAGATATAATATCGAGTTCTGTAAAAATGTCACTTTGTAACTTTTTTGTGCCTATTGTTTTTTTAACCCTTTATCCTGTTTGTGGAGCAGAAAATGCCATACTGACAAATCCACTGTGAAGGAGCCTGTTTCATCCCATTGGGTTTTGAAGTTACCACTGTATCATACGGACAAGAGCAGTTGGCATTTACAGGGAGGCAAGATGCCTCGAGTAAACAGTTTTGCCCCTCTAGCCACTGGACATTGGCTGAAGGCCAAAGATGTTAATAAATTTATCCTGCCACAGCCTCCAGCTTTTCATTTGTCTCATCCATCAGTGATTTTTCTCAGGTGTGAGAAAGGCAATGAAACTGCAAATTTCTGCCAGGTACTCTGTGCTTCAGGCTGGCATCACTGGTTGAACTGTGGAAGGTATGGCTTATTGCAGGAGTGGCACCATGGCTAAAGAGGGCAAGAGGTTGTACTATGGGACTAGAAAATACTTCCTTGGAGAGATTTACTCCAGAGCCTGATTTAATGTTTTCTTTAATGCCTTCTGTACGTGATATGGAAATATGCTAATAATATTGTTGAGAAGGCTAAATTGAATTGCATCATGAGGGTGTGAGAGGTCCAAGCTAGCATTTATTAGGAGCTAGGAAGATAAAAATGTTATTCGGACAAATATGCTCTTACATTAGGAGATAGGCACAAGTATATGTATCAACTAAGACTAAACAATGTATCAACTAAGATTAAACAGCTGCAATTACAGTGGAGGAGGTCAACAATCCAGAGTAGTTCTTTAGGCATGTTTCTAGTTAACTCGGAGCTAGGTTAAAGACCACTGCTGATCAGCGAGGTATGCACCAACTCACTAGTGTCATTCTTGGATCTGAGTTGCATCATTCCCTGCTGGCTCAGTACCTGGGCAAAAGATTTTATGTCTGCCCAAGGTACAAAGCATCGACATGTCCATTGTGGAGGTAAGAGGAAAAAAAAAAAAAGTGTGAAAGAAATGGATAGGCAGATTCTATCCGTTGAAAAAAAATGTCATTCTGAAACCACTTTCTAGCAGTAGTAGCACAGGAGCAATTTTAAGATGAAATTTAATCAGTTTAGAAGAAAGGTAAACCTCATTAGTCACATGGCAGCATGATATTGCGTGACTTGTGTTCCCATGTGAG